GGCCCCCCCCCCCCCCCTCCCCTTCCCTTTCAAACCGCTCTTTTTCCTGTTGAATGAAGTGGGCATTCCATGTGGCCTTGCCTTTTTCAGGCTGTGTGTGGCCACCCAAATAACTCACCATAGAAAGCAGAGAAAGAAAAAAGATGCCCTCCTCGCTGCCTGTGGTTGCCTGCCTGCCTGCCTGCCTGCCTGCCTGCCTCCCTGCCTGCCTGGTTGGCTGCCATGGCAATGCCATTTCTTTCTTGTTCTTGTATCGTCTGATGACTGTAAATTTTTAATTAAATTCTTTATTTTTTTTTTTTGTTCATTTCTTTGAATGGGATTTTTAACGATTGTTTTTAAGGTTTTTAGATGTGATTAAAGGTGGGATTTTTATATGGTAAACAGCTGAATCCCTTGAGATTATATCTGCTGCCACTCTCTCTGATCAAGAAAGATTATTATTCCTTTTTCCTATATTAAATACAACATTATGGGATTTAAACATTATTTAAATTATATATTAATGGAGGGTGCCTTGCACGTGATGAATTCCACAACGGCTCCTCCTCCTCCTCCTCCTCCTCCTCCTTCCAGAGAGATTGGAAGGGCAACTGAGTCATTTCACGACTGGAGCTAGGGTTTTTGTTTTTTGTTTTTCACTGCAGAGGTCAAAAAAGTAATAATCCATAAAGAGAGGGAAGAAGAAGAGACAAGGACCCCACCATTGAGTCGGAGTGGGACCCACTGAAACTGTACACTACCAATTTGGCTTCTCTTTTTGACCTTGTTCTCTTTTTTGCCCTAAGAAGGGCTGTTTTACAATGCGGCCGTTCTCATGTAAGCCTGCTTGTGGGACCACGTGGCATTTAATCTAAAAGTTCCTTAAATTAATACAACCGTTTCAATTATTTAATGAGGGCCATCACATTATTTTCAAATTAATAATTTTTGGGACTTCCTTTAATTTCCTTCACACATTTATTTTTATTTTTATTTTTATTTGCACCTTCCTATATAATTGCTAAATTATTTTATTTTATTTTATTTGTCTTATTAATATATTCCGTCGCCAAAAATTAATAAAAATAAATAAATAAAAAGTCATATTCCTAACCGAAAAAAAGAAAAACAAAAAATCTCTTCCCCTTTCAATTTCTTTTTTATCCTTTTAAAGAAAAAAAAAATGAAAATTCATTTCTCTACCTACCCACATCAGCTTTTTCAATATATTTTATCATCTAACTATAAAAATAAATATTTATTCTAATTTTTTTTATTATTATCTTAATTAATAATTTGAAATTGTGGAAGTAGAGAAATAATAATATTTTAAAGTAACATATTAATGAAGATCTTGCAACAATTAACCATAAAAATAATAAATATTGTAAAAGGAGAGTTGTTATAAAATAAATAAATAAATAGTTAATTAGATTAATATATATTTAATAGAGAAGAGAGAGAGAGAGAGAGAGAGAGTCCCACCATTTTGACCAAGAAAAAAAAAAAAAAAAAGTTAAAAAGTGGAAATTAAATTAGTGAGGCATTGAGCTAAGAGCCTTAATAAATAAATATAAATATAAATATATATATGATCCATTTGGTCATTGGAAATGGTTGCAGACCAAAGTCAAGGATTGTGCCTCAAAAGTCTGTATTCCTAACATTTGAAGAATTCTATTTTAATATTAAATGTATTAATTTATTTGGGTTAGTTTATGAGGAATGGGCTGTCACTCTTAAGCTGCCCATTACCCATTATTGAACGTTGAAACGTTTAACATTCTAATAGATTTATACTTCAATAATATTGATTAAAACCATCGTTGCCACATATTGCCTTTTTGGACTTTACCTCACAATTTTTAGAACGTGTTTACTAGACAGAGGTTTTTACACCCTTATAACCTCTCGTTTAATCCAGGTGGGATCGAGTAATGGAAGAACATCATAAACTTAGGTTCAAGGCTTCTATGGATCAATAGCATGCATGGGCAACGACTCATACCAGTTGACATGTATTCTTTACTTATAAACCCATGATCATTTCCAGCCAATGTGGGACTCCCAAGTCTTTTTTTACTACAGTTTGTTCGACATTTGAGGATTATATGACATGACTAAATTAAGGACATAGCTCTAATATCATGATAGGAATCACGACTCTCTACAATGGTATGATATTGTCCACTTGAGCATAAGTTTTCATGACTTTACTTTAGGCTTTTCCAAAAGATCTTATAGCTAACGTGGGACTCCCTCCCAATACAATCCTCAACATTGAACTCATCGAGTTAAAAGTAAAAAAAAAAAATATATCGATTACGGTTGAATTAAACCGACAGAAAAGTGAAAGAAACGAGAGCAATGGGCGGGGAGTTGGGAAGCATAGAAGCGACCAAAGGGAAGCAAGGGTGATGATGGTGTTCTTGAGTAGCACCTCATACTCAATGCTCTGCCTAACTCAGCGCCATCCGTTCTTCATCCCTCATCTTTCTCCCACACGCTTTCCTTTTTCTTCCATCATTATTATCTACATTTTTTAATTTTTTTTATTTACTCAAATTAATAACTTCAACGCCCACCATAACACTCAAAGTTGTCTATTTATAATTTTGAATACGAGTATTTACATGAAAGATCAAATATGATATATATATATATATATATATATATATAATAAACTATAATTCATGACTAAATATCCTGAATAAAATTGAGTTTTCAAAGGTTTCACTAATTATTATTAAATTTTTTTAAAAAATAAAATTAAAAAGTTTGGATACAATCTTAGGTGTCAATAAATAGTTTTTGTCCATAGATAGATAGTAAGAATTTTAAACACCGTGGCAATGATAAGAATATTGTTGAATATTGTCCAGGTATGATACAAATTCAACGTTGATCCGACGATCAAAATTCTAACATTAACTGCCACCCTCATTGACCAGTAGACCAACGCATGAACATAGTCCAATTAACGACGACCATGCTAAAAGGGAACACAAACCCAAAAACCATTACAAACTAGAACCAACCAACCAACCAACACCTACGTTGGACAAAACAAACAAACAAACAAAACATAGGGTTAATGATTTTGTCTGATTTCACCAACAATTACTATACCTAAACACATTTACCCAAAAAAGCTTGGCCTCAAAGTTGCATAATTGCAGCACCTTTGCTTTCTTATTGTGGTGTTTTTGAGAGCTTCAAAATGAATCCATTTTAGATCCATTTGAAGCTTCCTTTATGTGGGTGTTTCAATCTGTCAATTGGGTTGTTTTAGGCTTTTGAAGTCTCTCATTGTGTTGGGAACAGACATTTGTACTACAAGATCGCTGTAATAAGATCATGGTGGAAAATAGGATGGTGATATGGGAGATACTTCCTACAAACAAGACAAACTTATCCACAACACGTCTATTAGGGGAGAGAGATTTCCACACCTTCATAAGAAGTGTTTCGGAGTCCTCGCTAACTCACTGCCTGGTGTCTAGCTCTAAAACCATTTGTAACAGCACAAACTCACTCATCGCTAGTAGATATTGTCCGCTTTGGCCCGTTACGTATTGCTGTTAGCCTCACGGTTTTAAAACATGTCTACTAGGGAGGGGTTTCCACACCCTTATAAGGAGTGCTTCGTTCCCCTCTCCAACCAATGTGGGATCACACAATCCACCTCATTTGGAGGACCAACGTCCTGACACACCATCTAGTGTTTAACACTTGTATCATTTGTGACAGTGTAAGCCCGCACCGCTAGTAATTTTGTCTGCTTTGGCCTTTTATATATCGCCGTTAACTTCATAGTTTTAAAATGCTCGGTTTTCACGCCTTTGTAAGACAACAAATGTGTGACTTGAAAAGTATGGATATTATATTATTTGTGAAAATGTGTAGGAAAAAGAAAAAAGAAAAAGAAATTGTGATATTGGAAGTGTAGGCCCAACAAACTTGAAGTATTGGGCTGGGCTAGGATTAGTTGTTGTAGGAGGCCCAAGAAGGCTTGGGCCCTTTAATTATTTGGCAATATATATATATATATATATATATATAAAATAGTGGAAGTTGAAAAGACAGGTATTTAAATTCATTAAATTAGACCTCAATTTCCCAGATTTTTTTCCAGAATTTGTAATCATTACTCTCCCAACTCTTACTTTGCTTTGAATTTGCTAATCATTTCTACACCCTTTATAACTCCAATCATCTCATCTAATCTACACTTGGATTCTATTCAATCCCCTTTTTTTTTTTTTTTTTTTTTTTTTAATTTTATAAATATAAAAAAATAAAATAGGTTTAATTTTCAGACGCTCGCCCTCTTACATGCTTATGTGCCACAAGGTAGCTCACTTAAGCCATTGGACAGAGGAGTGATGGAGAACTGACACCATGTTATTACATTTTCAATATTCTAGACATAGATATGATTGTGATGAACGGTTATATTGTAGTTAAATCTAAACCGCCCCATGCACAATTCCCTTAACCCGACGTGATTTTGTGTGTCATCAAGTGAATGTAAGACGGCGGCGAGCATGACACAAAGCCTCGCCGCCAAACCCAAACGTGGAAACGCAGCATTTAATGAAACTCAGAAATGCTTCCCTTTTAGTACGAATTTTCATCATTTTAAACCAAACCCCATCATCAAACCAAATCAAACGCCACCTCTTCGTCTTCTTCTTCTTCTTCTTCTTCCATTATGGCTCTCCGCCGTCTCAGTTCTCTGAACCCCAACGCCGACCCTTTCCCTTCCACCACGCCATCTCTTCCCCCGCCGCCTCACCTCCGCCACGCCCTTCTATGCCTCCCACCCCTTTATGGATATCAATCCTACATCCACCCATACCAACCCCATCATCCCATCTTCGTTTTCTACCACCTCCTTCCGCCACTTTCTTTTCCCGGCGGCGGCGGCGTTTCTCTCTCTCACCCGGAAAATCCCGTCGGCAATGGCGACGTCAAATCTCACCACAAGAAATCCGAGATTAAGAAATGGGTTCCATCTGCCCCCGATCTCATGCCCTTGGAAACCACCACCGTCATGATCAAGAACATCCCCAATCAATTGAGGTGAAATTTCTCATTATTTTATTACCAAACTTTATGAATTTGACCCTTTTTTTATGAACAGGCGACATAATCTCTTGCAAATTTTGGATGAACATTGCAAATGCAAGAATTCATATTCTAATCAAAACGGCTTCCGGTCGGAGTACGACTTCGTTTACTTGCCAATGGATTTCGGGTCAGCTCAATTTCAAAAAAAGTTCAAATTTTTGGAACAACCCATTATGGGATTTTGCATGAAACACTCAAATTTCAAATTTTTGGAACAACCCATTGTGGGATTTTGCATGAAACACTCAAATTTCAAAATTTTCAGGAAATTTTGGTTCAATGGGAAGGTTTCAAATTTGGGGTATGCATTTGTGAATTTCACGAGTTCTAAAGGAGCTTCGGAGTTTTGTAAAGCGTATCACCGCCGTCAATGGGAGGTTTCGGTGAACAGAAAAGTGTGTGAAATTAAACGTGCTAAAATTCAGGTCAATTTCAGGCATTTTTTTTGGTTGGTTGGTTGGTTGTTTGTTTATATGTTTATGTAAAGAATGGTGTTTTATGGGTTTAGGGTTTGGACGCTCTCAGGGAGGCTTTTAGGAATAAGGTGTTTTGGTGCCATGCTAATAACTATCTTCCGGTTGTGTTGGAGCCGCCGAGTGATGGTTGCCGGAGGTATCGAGTCACGCCGGTCGGTAAGCGGATTGGACGGCCGCGGCCTAGCCCGATTAAGAAAGGTGGCTAAAAGGAGTGGATTTTGTTTGTTGCTAATGAGTAAGTAATCCATGTTTGGTTTCTTTTTAGGGTTTGAGTCTTTAAAGCATGTTGTGAACGTTGTTTGTGGCTTTTTCCACCCAATGGAAGCGGGGGTGGTTGGTAATGTTAGATGAACACAACTTTCCACCCTCGGTACAATATTCTTCCTTCACTTTAAGATGAGTCTCATCGCTTTGCTTCGGGCTTCTCCACCCCTTGATCGACATTTGAGGATTCTATTGCAATGACTAAGTTTAGTTTAAGGCACGGTTCTGACTACTATGAACACAACTCTTTATAATGGTATGATAATTGTCTAAGGTTAGTAAAGTTCTCGTAGCTTTGCTTTGGACTTTTCCAAAAGGCCTGGGTGCCAATGGAAATAGTATTTGATTATAAACCTAGGTTGGAATACATTTACATATCCTTAGGATGTTTGTGTTGTGGGAATTGTTCTTTTAATTTTATATATATTATTAATACTTAGTCATTAAAGTTGTTTTTGTATAATAATGTCTTAATTAGTAAGCTTTGAAGTCAAACAATTACTATGGATTATATGTCATTGTTGTTTTGACTTGTTTGAATCTAATTCCTTAGTTAAAGGAATGAGAACCCTCCAAAAGCTATGCTTTGAAAAGGAATATTAATTTGATCTTCAAAACTTATAATTTAAACATTTTGAATAACAAAACATCAACAATCAAATAATGTATGTAAAAAGTTGTTCAACTTCACATAGAATTTCATAATCTAATCGCATAAAAGCGAAACAATTTTTATGATCGAAATATGATGAAACAAATAATGGAAGCGGTAACCCATAAAACGTGGGATTTTGGGCATTTTTAGCTTTACAAAATTTATAAATACGCTTAGCTTTTCATAATTTCTTTTGTCTCCTTGTCTCTCCACTCTCGACATCTCCTTCACACCTCGTTAGTCTTATTTTAACAAGTTAGTTTTAGAGTTAGCGTTTATTTTTATGAGTATTTACAGGGACTCCTACGTAACAATTATTTAGGTTGATAACTTTTTTTGGTTAAGTCAAGTCAAGTTTACGAACAAATTCTATTGACAATTTTTTAGTGCGTGATATCCATAAACATATTCGAAAGATGATCACCTAACAATAATTTATATCGACAGAAATTTATTGATACGAAAGAAAACGGGATAGGAATTACATAAAAACTTAAACTAAAATTTGAAATTTAGACATAAAAGCAATAGATAAGAGTAAATCAATCAAGAGAATTAACAATAAGTTTCAAATCCTCAAGAAAAACAGCTCCATCTCCATCACCATCCATAGAAGCCACAATAGCCATGCAATCCTCCAATGAAACATCCAATCCCAAATTCACAAACACTTCATAAAGCTCTTCTCCACTCACAAGATCATCCCCATCGGCGTTTAGAGCCTCAAAGGCAACCTTCAAATACCTCCCCACCTCCCCAACTTCCACACTCCTTGCACTCATCTCCAAGAACTCCCCCATGCTCAGCAGCCCATCTCGGTCGACGTCGCCCTCCTCCATCATCACGTTCACGTCCTGCTCGCTCAGGTTGTACCCTAGCGAGCCCATGATCCCCCCGACCTCCGCTGCTGAGATCAAACCATCGTTGTCGGCATCGAATGCTCGGAATGCTTCTATGAGGCTGAAGATGTGGCTTAGGCTGTCGGTCTCGGCGGAGAGAGATGCTTCTTGAGCCATGGTTTGTGTTTAGATGTGTGTATTGGAAGGCATAGGAAGAGGTGTATTTATATATAGGTGAAGTGAAGAGAAAAGGAGGTTGGGATCAATTATTTAGCCACTTTAGGGGTATGAGATTCCTGCCTACCTCAAACTGTGCGCATCAATTTATTCATTAAAGTTAGCACATGATTCTAACGCGGAGTATCTGAAGCAGATGCCTGAGAATAGGAGCTTCCGGTGAATTTGCTTGGTTAAAGGGAAATTAATGATTTACGTGTATAGTTTGGTGACCATTTGAGTCCACCAACACCACTTAGGCTTGCAAGGTGTATGCTTGTATAAGGCATGTTGTTTATGGCTGCATGTCTGTTACATGCTCAAACCCTTGCCTTTATTACTTTATCGCTTTCCTTTATTACTTTCATTTCCTTGCTTTTTCTAAGTGTAGGACGTTTTGGCAGATTTACTGCTTTCATGATATATAATTTTCTTCTTGCTTTTTCCAAGTGTATGACGGCAAAATCATGTCTGTGCCTGATAGACATGATTATAGGAGATGTGATCAGTCGTCAACTTGTCAAGGCCTAAGGCCTATCAGACTTGAATCATCTCAAAATGTATTATAAGAGAATGCAACTAGTCGTCAACTCCTATCACCTAGATTTTGTATGACATGAAATCACATCTAGGCTTGCCTGACCTGAATCACCTCAAAATGTATTATAGGGGATACTTTTCTCGAAAAATTACATGCTATTTAAACCATTGTGTTGTCCTTTGCTTATATATCATAAAACATTGTTTTCAATCTCTCTCAACCTTCTTTCAAAATCTAAAACCTTCTCTCAAATCCAAAGACTTTTCTAAAACCTTCTCTTAAACCAGGGCCAAAAACGTGAGCATATATTATTCGACCGTAGGCGACACGATCTAACTAAATTGGCTTGACTAACTCAGTGCTAAGAGTGAATACCACACAATCACTAAATCCGCTAACTAAGTTGGCTTGACTAACTCAGTGCTAAGAATGAATACCATACCATCACTAAATCCTCTGCCAAAAAAAGGGCGATCGTGACAAGGGATGGGGCATGGTCAACCCTGTCCAAAGTGATAGCGGCTGTAGCATCCACCGGTAATGTATAAAGTAGTATAAAAAATCCCTTGAATTTAAAATAGGTATAAAGTAGATAAGAAAACACAAATCGGCTTAATTTTTAAAAATAGAACTCATAATATTTAATCACCAATTAGAAAAAGAACAAACACAAGAAAAAAAGAAAGAAAAAACTAAGCCTAATTCCTATTGGTAATATTGTAAATTATCCACATGAAGAAAAAAAAGACAATAATGAATAGATAAAAATTTACTTCTTTTTTTTCCTATGAAAAGCAAAGCAGGCCATCTTATAAGATCAATTTAAAGAGTAACAAAAGGGCGAAAATACCGAAAAGATGCAAATTGCAGCGCCATCTTCAGCTGCAACTGCAAACAAAGAGCACATTACCTATCCAACCCTTTTTCCGATTGTTCTATTAAAAAACCAAACAAAATCAGTTGTAAGAAAGGAGAGACGACTTGTAACCTATCACTTATTGCACTTCGCCAAACCAACACCAACACCAACACTCACTCTCTGCTTCCTGCCCAACATTCTCAATTTTTTTTTTCCTTTTATGACTTTAAACTGACAAAAAGGATCCAACATGAAAGATTTTTAGTATTCAGACAGCATTGGAGGGTTCTGGTAACTTGCATCTGATCGGCTTCAATGACGGCTTCATTTTCATGTACTGCAACAAAACAATTGTAGTTTTGAGTGCTCGGAAAATGTTGTATAAATACAGCAAACAAAACAACTGAGTTAAAACAATCTCAACTCTAGCAATTTGCCTAAAGTCATAAATATCCTCATCAGCAAATAACAAAATAGTAAGACCCTTCAGTATTTATATCCCCTTTGATCGTATTGTCCGATATCTAGCTAGCTAATGAGCACCTTACAATATTTAACATTGGAAACCAATATCACTTAATTTCTTAGGTTAGTAAGCACAAGAATTGAATCCTGACTTCAGGGAAATCAGAGTTTATAACTTGTCCTGTTGATAAGTAGTCAAGCCTATGGTTATTATCCAGATCCCCAAATTAAAAAAAATAATAATGGTTGCAACAGTGACATAATTTAAGTTTAAGCTAGGACCATGCGTATTATTGACCAGCACGTTCTCGACACAATTAAGCATTAAAATGACAGAAACCCAGGAAAAGAAAAGATCATACTCATTCCTGTATACTGCGTCAAATTTTCTTTTGAGAAGAAAACTGACACTGAAATCAAACAACGATAGCCAAGCAATGCTGAAGCAAAAAATTTAATGACAAGATAGGAAACAAGCACCATTTACCTGCTCATAAAAAGCATTAATCTCCTCTTCTGTAAGCGCTTCATCATCTCCTGAATTTTCTTCCCATCCAAGAGAACGAAGAAATGCAGCCTCTTCCTCATCTGTACATAATGCTATGCTAGGACTCAAACTTTTATTCACGGTCTTGGAAAACCTCTGATCCTCTTCGGTGATATTGCCATTGCTAATCAACTCATCTGTAACAGTAGAAGGCTGCACTGGAGAACCACCTGCTTCCTCGTTAACTATCCCCGACTTTTCCTTGACAGGGGATGTGCAAATACCTGAATCTTGGAGACTAGTGGAACCATTTACGGAAGTTTTCTTCTTTATGAGATTAAAGAAATCATTCCTGCTTTGCGATTGAGAAGGGGGTCTCTTTTCCAAAGTGGATGCTGATTTCAGATCTAAGGCCGCCGCCTTCCGCTCCAAAGAGGATGGAGGATTCAGGTTGTTCCTTGAAGTCTTCGGTGTTGCTGAAGAGGCAACAGAAGGCTGGCAATTTGGAGCTCTACTGTTGACATTACTAATAGGATTTGAGCTGTCTTTTAACACACCATTTTCCCACACTGGTTTGAGAACCAGGAATTTCCCATGAGAGGCCTTTGGAGAATCAGACTTGACTTGTCCACCTCGAAGAGATTGACTATTATGCTGCACAATAGGGAGCTGTTGATGACCTCCCTTGGCAGGCACATGCAGTTCAGTAGTTCTGGATGCTCCTTTGGACTTGGATTTTTCAAAAGAATTAAGGACCTGAGAAGGAAATGAGGCAACAAATCAGAGATAATTTAAAGTTTTGTGGTCAACACATTCAGTCATTCGAACAATTGTCTTTAACATGGATAAAGTTCCAGAGAATGTTATATCGCCAGAAAAGATTTCCAATATGGATTATGGAATAAGAAATATTTCACCACTATGAGTTTCCAATAAATACCTTTTCCTCTAAGATTCTATTATTTTCATCATTAACATATCTATTTTGATAAAATGATCAAGAAAGCTTCATTGTAACCAAGAATGTCATTTATAACACAACTTGTCCCTCTTCAACCCTTAAAAAAGGACCTAGAAAAAAAGGATTCCCAAATCAGAATTGAAGACAGAGAGATTCAGATTATGCAATCAGTATAGCTAAAAAATTCAACATGGGACCAACACGACTTAGTTGTGTACAATGAGAGCTGACTTGCAACATATTTTTGCACTTGAAGGAGAGTGAGATCGAATGTAAAAGGGTAATGGAAACTGTACATTTGTAGGGTCCAGTAGGATACTCTGGGCCCTAGGGACCCTTAGCTGCAGTACAGGCCAAAGTTGTAGTGGAACAGGAAGCCAGAAGACAAGGGAGTTTGTTTAGTGAGATTGTGGCTAAAAATGACATTGATCTGTTTTATAGAAGACTCGGCTTTTGAGAAATAGATTAATGTTCAAATATTCTTAAGAAAACCTTCACATCTTTGAGAAAATGTCTCTGTTGTTGCTTGCTAATGGAGCTCCAATTCCGAAAATTTTATAATACTTTATCCAATTTATAAACATCTTTTTCAGTAGCTTACATTTGAGTTAGATCCTTTTTTCTGCGTCTCAATCTTGTTCACTTGGCTTTGCCTATGAATCTATAATTCTTGTGCTGAACTCGGAGACATTCATATTTTCATCACTTATAGAACTCGTCTAACATTATTACTAATATTATTTCACAATCTTTGCATTATTATTTTTCACGAAGGAATATATTGCCCAAGACATTGTCACAATCACAATTACAAATCTTCCATATCAGCAATAAAATATGAGCATAAACGAATATGTTTAACAGAACTCGTTTTATTTTCACTTCATTACTTGAATTTTCTAATTCAAACATTAACTAGAAGAACAACATCCCACGCAACCAACATGTTCCAATGATCATGAAAGCTCAATTATGTAAATCAAATAGTCAACAGATAAGAACAATTTGGCTCCTCTGGGGCAATGCCATCAAAATATCAAGATTTTAACTTTAGAAAATATCCCATTCATATCATGATGCCATCACGTTTTAGCTATTGTCTTTAGCTATTAATATTTTACCCATCTTTTGTCTCCAAAAACAGAGTGGGCCTAAGATTACCAATGAGAAGAAGTATAACCTGCAAATAATTCCTAAAGAAAGCTTCGGGGTTTAAAAGTTCTCAATCTCCAAAGATTTTTTTTTACTAGTACAAATGAACAGCGATAAGACACCAATATTAGACACAGAAGATTAACAGAAGAATATGGAAAAATAAAGATTCCCGTTGCCTGAACCATAAAACAAGTAGATTTCAGGAATATTGAACTATAAAAATAGCATCGCTGAAGAAAAAACTTACAGAAACTTTCGGCATTGAAGGCGTTACTGGGATTAATTGCCTGGACTGCTTAATAGCCAATTCCTCGAGCCTCTGTGACTGGCAGAATACAAACAAAAAATGGAATTATATCAACTGCGGTAAATGTGTTCTACAAAATTTGAAGAGGAAAACAACTACCTCAGTTGACTGAGGCGCAGCACGAGCTCTTGTTGGTGCCTGTGTTAAAGCTTCAGCCATCTTTCGTGGAGTTGTTGCATTTGGAGACCCCAACCCAGAATTAGCAGCAACAGTCGGTTGAACAGATGATGGAGCAGCTGTACTGCCTGTGACTATAGTTGGCACCTCAGCCAGAGCTGACGTCCATCCCTCCCAACCAATGAAAGTTGAATTTCCAATAGTCAAGCTCTGAACAGATGTGGTCAAGCCAGGAGATGATACTCTTCCTACATCTGGTCCTCCTTGCCTTTCTTCTGATCCAAGTGATGGAAAATCCTTGTCAAAAACAGCCTTATCAGTGATACCATTAATGGTACTTCCTGAATGAAAGCCATTAATGTTCGGGTTACGATTATAGCCTCCACTTTTTGAGTCAACAGCAACTCTTTGAGGAAATAAATCACCTTGCTTCCTAGATATCATCGATTGGGAACGCTGCAAAGCTCCTTTATCAGCCCTACTGGAATATGTATTTGGCAGAGGGCCAGAAAAGTCATGACCCCAAGGGTCCCCAAGATTTGAAGTTTCTTTCTCCTTCTCACGGTCCCTATCACGATGATTCCTATTAAAACCACTGTAAGCATTTTTTCCAGAGACATGACTAGAGCTCCTCTTTGAGCTTGACGAAGATGACCAATCCAATAAATCAATGTGCGGTTTATCTATATCGCTAATGCTCTTTGAAGTTCTACTCCTCGAGTATTGAGCTTGCGAAGAAACATCTAGTCAACAGTGAATAATAACAAATTACTGAATATAATGAAATAAAATAAATAAGACTGTTGAAAAGGAATAGGTTGATGTCCAAAATATTGTAAACTACAAACTACCTGAGTTAGGAGAAGGCGATGCAAATTGTTGGGCTGAATTTCCACTCCCAGAAACACTTCCAGAATTTCTCAGCCACTCTGGAACTAATGTAGGTTCACTTCTTTCCATCATGAGTATTAAACATGATCAACCATGACAGCATAACACGTCTTGTATCCTTAACCACATTCTTTAAATAGTTATTAAGACAACGCCAGCAGAAGTACTAGTCCTTCCTAATGCCCGCAGCAAATCGTGAAAGTGCTATAATTGTTTATAGAGGCATCAATGAAATAAAAGAGTTAGGCAAGACACTAGTTGGAAGGACGCCAGTATTACAATTGTTTGAAGGATGGAATGGAAAGATTTGACTCAGCCTAGATAAAAAAAATTAATCCTCATCTACAGACTAGCTAACTTCCCACCCTGTCTTGCAGATTTATTCTCCTCCAACAACGATTCTGCATTAGAAATCGTTGTTACTGAATTCTAATTGACAATGACAATATCGCTTGAACCCTCTGAAGTTTCACCAAAAGCATTAATTGCAAAGGATTGCAGCCTGATGACAAAAGAATGCTATGGCAATGGCATAAAGACTATTTGAAAGAAAATGCAACGGAATGAAGAAGAGCAATTCGCTTTCCCTCACCCATCTTCCCCAAATAACGGATTGGAAGGCAGCGTCAATAACTCAGAAGCCCCTCATCACAGTGTAAAATGGCGGTAGAAATAGGAATGGAGATTATATCTACGTTCACAGAGGAAGAACACTCAGAATTCGGACGCAACACTAGAAAACGCCGCAATAAATTCAATCAGAAGACCCTTAAAGGAGTAAACAAAATCAGAGAAAACAACAACAAAAGTGCAAACAATAAAAACCCTAGAGCATGCTACATAAAATAAACTTCGAATCCACACCCTATAATCAGAAACAACAATCTCATAGCCGAAATAACGGAAGTAAATCCCAGCAAATAAGCAACACGGAGGGAGGGATTAAGAAAGAATACTAACCGTCAGCCCAGTGATTGAAATTGAAAGAAAGGGGAAACCAAAGGAGTGGGTATAAGTGGTGAATGGAACCCTGTATCGAAGCAATGCGTCTGGGAAGAACGCAAAAGTTGGAGAGTAGGAGAAGAGAGCAGATAAATGAAGGAATCGGGGAAGAACTTAGGCAAAATGGGGACTGAATTATCGTCGGATATGGAATGGGAATTGAGTTGATGATTATTGGTCCGCCATGCGAGAGACGACGAGAACAAAGAAGGAATTGGAAAAGGCGAATAGAAGAAATTGATACTCAAAATGTAACATGCGAAGAACGGCACTCTTCACACGAGAAAATAATATCCGTTTTCTATTAAAAATTAAAATTAAAATCCATTTATTTACTTTTATTATTATTATTATTAATTCAAATTTAATTAGATAAAAAAAATAGTATTTATGATTTTATCTCCTAATATATTAATCAAGTCTTAGCTAAAGTTTAAAAATTTATCTCTTCATATTAAATGTAATTAAGATATAATTGATAAAAAATTTAAATATATTAGATATCAATAACTATACTATTAGCCTAAATTTAGGCTCAACTTATTATTTACACTAAATTTTAATAAAATTTCAAAATTAAAAAATGCTAAATAAATTAGTATAAATTTAAAGATATAATATATATTAATTGGGGAGTGATTCAAACTTATAAAACAAAAAATAAATAAATAAATAGATTTTTTTTTTATTCAAACAATTATAAAAATTGGATTTATATAATATTTTATTCAATTAACCATATACAAATTAATGTCATAATTTTAAACTCATAGTTTTGAAAAAAAATTGTTAAATTCTTTTTTTTTTTAGTTAAATAATAAATTTAGTTATGCACGTTTAAGAATTATAATTACTATACGTGTTTCACAATTTTGTAGCATTCTCAAAACTCATGAACATGTCGTTTCTTTTGCTTACCCACCCAATCTTTTATTTTAACTTATGTCTGTCTAGTGCACAATCGTACCTTTTATTTTCACTTATATCTAATGTCACAATCGCACTTTTTAGGTAATGTCACAACAATTATGAAAGTCAATTGCATTGAAAACACGTAGACAATAGCTGTTATAATACTTGATCGAGGTAAGTTTGATGACTACCTAGTCCTCATTTTTTTACATTGTGAGACAATTCAAATATAGGAGTAATCATTTAACATGAAAGGAAATAAAAAGGGTTTAATATATCACAGGTATGCAACTATAGACAAGATGTTCTAGACAGACATGACCATGACACACACGTCAAGTCAAATAAATTGACATGACATGCAAAAGATTCAATCATGGTAACCATTTGGAATATCAAAATGAAACTCTAAAAATTAGTTTTAAATTATTTATAATAAATTTAACAAATGATGAGAATAAATTCTAGTTTTTAAAATATAGGAATAATTCAAATAACATATATGCAAATAAGACTTTACAAAACAAATGAAGATAATGGGTGTCAAAAAGAATACAGAAAGTTCATCTCAATATACACACTCTCCTTTGTGCTGCCATGTTGCAGGGCGAGCCCTCACTATCCGGTTAACACTTCCATTGAGTATTGGGTGATCTAGCCGAGGACTCCCATGAACTGGACTTTCTGCAGATCAAAACAAAAGGGATGAATCAAAGGTTACTGATCATTCTCCTTTATCCGCTTCCCTGTCATCGTCTTTGTCGACGTTCTGCGCTTGCTTCACGAAACTAAGTTCACTCTCTGGCTTTGCTCGGTTTAGGGATTGAGCTTCTTCATCATCAGATTGAGCTCCGATTTCATCAGAGTAAGCATACCTTGGTTCATGATTGTTAAAACTTAGGATTAGGCTGAAAGAAAGTGGTAAAACATTGGAAAGTATAGAACACACCGTTGAGAACTTTGTGATGGAGCCCAGAGATAGCAGATAACGCATAATAAAGCAAATGCAAGAATGTTCCAAAAAGCAGTTATGATCCAAGCACTCTGCCACCTTTCATTAAAGGGATCTGTCGCCTTGAAGTAGACCTACCATATGCAAAAGCTTATCATGAAACATTGCTGTACAAGACAGCACTAAAATAATAACAAGAAGACACGGTGGGCAAGAGTCCCTAAAACAATGAGGTTCATGTAGATTTCATTATGCAATTTGAACTCTATTAGTAACCCTGGAGAAAACTTTCCATAATTATACACCAATTACTGCACTGCATGCATCACCCAAAAGATGCACACACTAACGGTAACAACCCAAGTTTACCGCTAGCAGATGTTGTCTACTTTGGCTCATTACATATCGCCGTCAGTCTCATGGTTTTCAAACGCATCTACTAAAGAGAGGTTTCTACACCCTTACAAGGAATGTTTCATTCTTCTCTCCAACCAACATGGGATCTCACAATCCATCCTCCTTGGAGACCCAGCATCCTCGTTGGCACAACGCCTGGTGTTTGGCTCTTATACCATTTGTAACGGCTCAAGCCCATTGCTAGCATATATTGTCCACATTGGTCCGTTACGTATCACCGTCAGTCTTACAATTTTAAAACGCATCAGTTAGGGAGAGGTTTCCACACCCTTGTAACAAATGTTTCGTTCCCCTCTCCAACCGATATGGGATCTCGAGGGCTCAGCGTCCTCGCTGGCACATCTCTCGGTGTCTGGCTCTTATACCATTTGTAATGGCCCAAGCCCACCGCTAGCATACATTGTCCGCTTTGGCCCGTTACGTATCACCGTCAGCCTCACAATTTTAAAACGCGTCACTAGGGAGAGGTTTCCACACTCTTATGAGTAATGCTTCGTTCCCCTCTCCAACCAATGTGGGATCTCACACTAACTTCAGTATCCGGTTTTTATATTTCGTTTTTCATTTGGTAAAGCATTAGGTTGGCACTATAGATGTCTACATGGATAAAGGAACAAAATGTGTAAAGAGTTTGAAGTCATACCTCATATCCAATCCAAGCAACAGAAGCAATGACAGTGGCCACCAAAGCATTTGAGAACTTCCTATATATTTCCAACTTAACAGAGCTCCTCTTCATCTGAAAGAAAAGGACAAAAACAAGTTTATCTAATGAGAGGATCCATGCTGTTAAACTTGGCGGATATCAGGAACAGGAAAGCAATACCTGTAGCTGCTCTAACGTCCTTGAAAGGGAAGTAAAAATCCACAATATTAAAAATGCATCTAGGAACGCATCAGGGAGGACTAGGAACAGTCTTGCTCTTCCAGAAACATCATTTATAATCCCAACATACTCTGTAATATCCAATAACTCAGATGCCAAAAAGTAAGTTATCCCCAGAAGAAGAACCTTTGAGGTAAGACCACCAAGAGTGGGCCGAACGACACCATAACCCATGGCAATTGTCAGTATAAGAAGCCGTGTAACAGTTTTCCTTACAGCAGCCACAGTCACCACCCATGTTGTGATTACGACTGGCCTAATTCCGGTATCGTTAAAGTTTACATACTCGAAGTACCAAAGGACCATCTCAAATAATCCGAGCGCAACAATGACTGTGATGCAATGCTGAAGTTGCAGAATATCTCTCCAGAACCTCACATACTGAGATAGCCAAATGACAATAAGCAATAAATATGCAACGGACATACATACATAAAATCTCATTAAAGAGAACATCCGTCCTGGTAAATAACCATGGGGATTTTTCCACTTTGTTCTCCCACTCATCACCAATCCTTTGAGGTTTGGATCACATGTTACAAAGAACAAGTTATACATTCCAGTTTTTGTAATGGAAACCTCCATATCTTCCATGCGAGTGTGAAGATAGTTACCACTGAACTGCACATTTAAAACAACAGGCCAGTTAATATCTGATGAAGAAGGTCTTTTAATGACTTCCCCTTGCTTACATCCTTCAAACTTGGCAAGATCTGGAGTGCAACATACAGCTCTCTGTCCACCATAAGCCGAACCACCAATGTTATCGCGATCAGCAGCCTCGAAGATGATAACTTGTATCAATCCAGGGCTATGCTCCATGTCTGTATGTTGGTCGGCAGCAGCCTTGCTCCTCCAAAAGGTGATATTATAAAATCTGTCCCATTTGTAAATTTCATGTACTGAGAGAAGAATACATACATATATACATACAGATTATAAACATTCAGTGAGCTACAGCAGGGCATAAATTTTTCAAAAACCAGTTTCTGTGAATAATTTAATCCTTCAAACATTCTCGAGGATGCGTGCAGATAGGTCAATATGATCTTTAGAAACAAGAAATTGAATGACTAGCCAAGTTGTTCAAAACAAATTTTCTAATCAAATATGATCTTTAAACAAAACGAAATTCTTCAATGTAACGATATTGTTCTTCATTTTCTATCTCGCCAATGAATCATGTTTTAAAGCCAAATGTTACCCCCAATATAACAAAATGAACACAGATCCAGCTCAAGTATAATCAAATTAAAACGCAATTACAGCTCAATTTCAAGGACACCTTCAACAAAACCTATCCACACGGACTCGCAAAAGAAGCACATGAATCAAAATCAAGACATCAAAAGAGTTAGGAAGAGTACTGGATCGAAGATTGGACATTGCGGACAGAAGACGTATCGGAATTAGCCGCGAGAGAAGCCGCAAGACCTTCACTGCCGCCGGAGAGAAGGAAAGAGTTGCCGACATCAATGAAAGCTTCTTTGTCGTAGAAATGGATTGATGCATTGGCTAGATTCACTGTGAGTGACTGCAAGAGTATGAACCAAGCATACAAAATGAATAAAGGATTTGAAACAGCAAGAGATCTCTGTTTCAAGATATTCATGGCGACGGATCAAACAGAAAAACAAGAAATAGAGAGAAAGAGAGACAAAGAGAGGGATCGGCGTTAGAATGGAATCGGCAGATGAGGTCGGAGTCCGATTGTCAGAGAAGCAGTTGTCAGTGGGTCGGTACAAAAAGGGAATCCTACCACACGCGCTCACCTTATATGTGATTGAGACAGCACAAAATAAATTCTGTTAATTCAAAAATGTCAGAGGATCAAAATTAATATATATATTTTTTTTAATTCAATATCCTAAATTATATATATATAGATAGTAATTTATTGTCTTCTACCAGACATTAGTTAAATTAAATTTTGGTGGATTTGAAAAAATTAAAATTTAATTTTTTGATTTAAAATGATAAAATTTGTCCCAAAGAAATTCTTATAATATAGACAATTTTCGGAAGTTTTATTTAATTATATATATAAAATGTAACGGTCCAGATCCTCCTCTTGGGTTTTCACTCAAGGCT